TTGTGGAGCTTGGGAAACGAAAAACTACAGCCCAATGAGTGAATTAACTGTTGAAGAAATTGTAACGTTAAAAACTATACATCCTACCTACCGTAACCAGCAAAAAACAATTCAGGTTGTCGCATTTTCTATTCAAGCCGGCCGAATTCCCACAGCAATTAAAAGTAGGTTTCCCGCAATTTTAACTGTAACTTTTTAAACGTTGGTGCTTCCAATAGATCTTTCTCTCCTTATTGAAGCATTTGTATTGCAAAACACGGTAAATGGCTTTTGTTTTCTGTTTTTCCGGCGTTTTATAATTATGGACGCTTTGAAAGAAGACTGATTAGCAGTATTTGATTTGGCGGAAGTTAATTTGCAGTCAATTTTCACGTCTTTCAAATGTTATCTTTTCGTACGGCGCAGAAAATGAACTGATTGTTTTGATTGTTTCCATGTCTCTTCTATACACTTCACTGGAAGGAGGAGGAGGAGGAGGTATCTAGGATTGTAGCAATAGAACGTAGCAACGCGAAATGGAGGGGTGCATGCGCACGCGAGGAAGGAAAGTGCGCGAGAATGGAAAATTCCCATTGGCTGAGAGCGCCCCGCGCGTCTCCATCATCGCACGTGCACCTCCAGCTGTAGATTTATAACAAGTGGGTTGTAGATTTATACGGCGTGAATCGCACGCGTGATCGATGAAATATATATTTTTTTGCCAGAGCTCGTCATAGACACTCGCCCCAGGTTCCACGCATCTTGATTGGGAACTGAGACAAACAAACGGGTGAAAAGAACGCGGGGAAGATGGGAAGTTTTTTTTAATCGAAATAGCTTTCAAAAATGCTTTAATAATCCATAAAGAAAATTCAAAAGATTCGGCTGCACTTTTAGCTCATTTTTCTCGTCTAAAACAAGATAAAATTTCAAGATCGGGTCAGATTGAAATCATTGAATAGATTTAGAAGGAAGGTTTTGAAGCCGTTTGAGTTTTTTTACATGAAAATGCTCGCTCACGCTATACGGCTCGTGTTTCCATATAATTTCTCTGACTTTCTCTCTAACTTCCTCTCGTGTTTTATAAACTATCAATTATTATTACACAAAACACAAACAACAGAGACAAGTCAAACCATGCTTTACCTTTATTGACATTTCCAACAAAAACACAAAACCTTTTCGTGTTTTTTTTTACAAAAGACAAGAATATCAGGCACTACAAACATTCTGTACAACAATAATGGTTGTAGTACAATATAACTCGATATAAACTCTCTTCCACTCAATTAGAACCTCTAAAATGTTTATGCATATAGAAGGGCTAGGATACTTGGCAGACATAAAGACTAAGATAAGCGTATAGCAGAAGTAGCAAGGAATAATCAGTGTAGTACAGAGGGCTTGCCGGCGCTTTCATGTCACTATTTGGAATTCCAAATTGTGTCTTGTTGTTGTTGTTGTTGTGAAATAGCAGAAATAGTCACTTGTTACATTTAAGGCTTCAGTCAGTTTACAGCAGAACAAAAAATAGCTTACAATAGTGCGTATAATACATTATAGCAAGGAGCCCTAAGGAGTGACCCCTTTAAATTAATTCAAATTCTTTCGTGCGCGAATCAGAAGCGAAGGATAGCTATTCTTCGGCTTCTGATTGGATAGTCTGCAAGTACGAAAGAATCTGTATCAATTAAAAATGGTCACACGTTTGTAACCCACTAATCTACAAAACACATTTGTTTGAAGAAACTTGTTCATAACTAGGCAAAGGCCTTTTAGTCCAAACGTTAGTGTGTGAAACAAACACACAACAGGCGTTTCTATGGTAACCACACTCGGGTTACAAGTCAAAACATTTTCCTTGAGATTTTCAGCTCTGGTTTTTAGTTCATGACAGTCAGAATTACTGCATTTGAACAAGATAAAAAACACAATTCATTTATTCCACATGACGAATAAGATAAGGAAAATCGTTAACTTGGGAATGTTGTCACGAAGTATTACAAACTCTCATAAACATAAGGCGAATAAATATTTTGAGTTAGGGGCTAAAAAGGTTATTTTAATACCTAAACGTAAAATACTCAATTATAATAAATTAATTTATGTTAGACTATAATCAGCAAGACAGTTCAGCCAAGTAAAGTTGACAGTTTGTAAACTTCTGTCAACTGTTGTTGAGTTACATACTAGTGTAATATAAACCAATATAATTTATTGTTCTATGTATCTGTCATATAAAAATATACCTGATATTTTATTCAATCTAGCTACACCATCTAAAATAATTTAAACACAATTAAAAAATAATTATGAAGTTTGCAGCATACGTGATATAGACTCTAATTAAACCTACAATTCCTTTGAATTCAAGAACATTTGTACAGTACAACCCTAATAAGAACTGAGTCATAATAAACCAAACAAGTATTACTGCACTTTTCAATAACATATGAACTGTGTTTAATCAACGGTTGCTTCTGTTGCAGCTGTCAATCATCTAAGTGGATGTCTCATGTCAAGAAACAGAAGTTCACTTCAATGGGTTCAAAAGGTCAATGCCCGAGGGTTGCGATTGGTGGATTTTGATCCATTTTGTTGGGTTTTTTTTCAGGGTCCGGTGGTTGTCATCGTAATTATTATGATTGATGGCAGTGAAAAATGCAATGGTTGTTTGGGTTATGAACTTCAGAGTGTATAACAAACCAAATGCTTTTAAACCGAGTATATTTGAGGTTGCACTGTATGGAGATACATCTTATAATAATAAAAAAATATATGCATTTATATGTATTCCACTTGCTGACATAATTTTTCAATTAATTTTGAACTTTTTTGTTAAGCATTTCCAATTATTTCAAGCATTATACTGACAATTTACAGACAAATCATTACAATAAAAATTATTGAATAATAATTCAATAAATTCAACTGAGGAAATTAAAAGTTTCCAATAACTAGAAATTAAAGCTAACATAAATTAATGAAGTGGTTCTCTCTCTTGGTCCAACTACTTTATGACCAAAAAACACAAATTTAAACGTTTTTATCCATTCAGTGATATCACCTTCTCAAAAATTATTCCTCTAGGATAATAAATCAGACTTGTTTGCGATAACAGCAATCCAATATTTGTTAATATGAGCAAAAAACACCCAGAATATTAATACTTTGTCACAATGTGTTGTACACAATAGCCTTACAAAGGCATTCTTATGAGAAATAGATAAAAAAATAAAGAAATCGTTAAAATCTACCATGCAAACTATGGAATAAATTAACTACCCTAAAGACCTTGAAACTTTCAATTAATTACAATAACTCATGAGGCCCTAACATAAGTACCGGTATATTCCAATAATTATGCGGAAACTGTTGGAAAAAGTTCCTTTTTTGTGAACCAAACAAAACGTCTCCTGTTATTGCAGCTTAATAAAGCTTGTTGTTGTTGTATAGTCTTGGTCCAGTATTCATAAACAATATCTGACGAGATATTGCATAACACTCCACAAAATAATGATATACCCTTTGCTTGCAAAATGATGCTCAATTAAACAAGTCAACTTGCACTTAAAGTGGCAGATCCAGACCTGTTTATAAGGTGGGGCCTGAAAAATTTTCGCCCCTTTGGGCTGTTTTCCCAGAGTAGTTGTTTTCTCGTTTCCCAGGTTGCTTTACGAAATGAAATCTTCAAACTGTCTGGGGTTTTTTCCTGACTCCATTTGGTCAGGGTTTTACTATTTCATTGTCTGTTTGTTATAGTTTTCAAACTTGATATGATAACAGTAACAGAATGTGTATACCAGATAGAGTTGCACAGAGGGCCAAGACAAATTGTGGAGTTCTGTAAAGAGTTTAGTTATTTAGTAAATGGTTTAACCCTTTCACTCCCAGAGTCAAACCTTGAGTCAATAGACGTGGTTCTAACTTTTGAGTCTGTGGATTAAACCCTAGTTTGTGACCATTCAAATGAAAGTTATTGAGCAGTACTTTCAAATGGTGCTGTTTGTTTTTGACAATTTTGCAAAATGAAATTCAAGATTTTCCCTCAGTTTTGAACTTAGCACTCTTGGGTGTGAAAGGGTTAAGAGTACAGTATCAGTAGTTCATCTACTGTGATCCGGTCCGAGTGAGTGTAGTCCTGAAAAGGACTGTTGTTGATGACTTATTGTTCTGGTACTTGGGCAGAGCCTCAATAATGTACACTATTTAAAACAATGTTATAAGTTAATAATTTTACTTTTTTATGATTTGATTGGGGCTCAGTAACCCCAACAATATTGATTAAAAATAACTCTTCAGTTAAAAAACGCCATACATCAGCAGATTCTATAAAAGCTAGTTGCCTTTTAAAAATGTTTCTCCTATCAACAAAGTCTGTTATAAAATAACCCAAATATAACAAGTATTTTGATTGGTTGACTGCCAGGCTATAGAAACCCGTTAAATACTAATAAATCTACAAATATATGATAAAAAAATTATTTTGGGTCATCTACCATTTTGAATGTTTTCAAGAAAGTTTACGAATCTTTGCTTAATTTAAGCCAGTCATTCATGAAAAACAAAATTCCCGAAAACAATCAAACATAATATTATAATATGTAATGCGTTCCCACATAGAAACTACATCAATGTTAAAAACATAATTTTATGCAATATTTAATATAATATTTATTAAATACTTAATGGCTGTACTGTCTTGCTGATTTAGCATTGTGAATCTAACTAAGTACTCAATTAGTCATTCACACCTTACTGGGAAGTAAGTTTTGAAAAAAACAAAAAACAATTAATTTTATTATCACTACCTTAGCCCCGTACAATGATTGTTTACCTGACAAGTCAGAAAATCCATCAGAGATCAGAGTGCCAGCACTCATCTCCTGTTTCCATAATGACTAGGAGTAGAATGGGATGCTAGTCCATAACAGTTACCTAACAATTTTGTCGGTACCCATTTATACTCCTGGGTGGAGAGAGGCGCAGTGGCAGAAAAAGTGTTTTGCCCAAGAACACAATAGCGTGACCACGGCCAGCGCTCGAACCTGGACCACTTGATCCAGAGTCCAACACCCTAACCATTGGGCCACCACCCTCCCACAGTAAGGTTAGGTATGCCCATACATGATTGTACTCTCAGCAAAATTGCTTTTTCAAGAGTAGACTGCAAACACAACATCCAGGAGGTGAATGCCCCACAGTGTGTCCTAATTGCTATGCAATCTTCAAAGCAATGAAAATGTTTCTCTTGAACTTCAAAAGACCAAACTAACCGTTTAGATTGCATGTTGTTGTGTATAAGCATAACACAGAAATTTTCAGTCCATTTATTCACCTTTTGGTCAAAACTAAGATGAGTGAAGAATGAGACAAGTGGAAAATGTATGTAAGATATGTTAGAATTCTTAGCTGAGAGAGAGAAAGAAGAGTTTCATAGCGTAGAGTGCCAAGCTTGTAGCTGTGCCTTGATTATGTCATATTACGCATGATATACCTTCAAACTATGCCTTAATTACCACTTCAATAAATGGGCTGAATTCACAAAGCCCTCCTAAACTAAGATATGATGTCCAAAGTATTATTTCTTAACAATAGCCTATTGTTAGTAAACAATACTTAGGATACCTCTTAACTTAGGAGCTTCGTGAATCTCGCCCCTGGAATGTAAACTGACATATACCTAATGTTGCAGAATTTTCAGTCAATGTACAGTACATGTATGTAGTGAAAACTCTGCAAAGAGCTAGAAGTTATGAAAGGATGTATACATGTATATATGTATCAACTAGAAGAAGTTTTTAACTACAAGTTTGATTTTCTTACGGCAAACTGGGCATTTCTTTTTACCTTCCTTCAGTTTCTCCGCACACCCAATGCAACATACTTGATGACCTGTTCTGCCATGCACGATACTTGCATTTCGAGGTTGCGTCAAGCAAATGACGCACAAGTCTGGCGTAAAGGCTGACTCAGGGTGTTTATTTTCAGAGTTTTGTGTTACAGTTTGTTTTGCGCTTTCAGCACTCGATGCTTGTCTTGAAGAATGTGATTGTCCTTGAAAGTTCTCCTCCACTGACGACGATGCACCCGCAATAAGTGAAGCAGAATTAGGTTGTGGATTCAGTGTTGTTAATTCTAATAATGATGATGATGATGGGCCAGGATTGTCAATAGATGGCGCAACAGCAAGTGATGCCGATTTTTGAAGGGATGGTGAACTAGGAACGTCTGTTACTCTTGACAAGTCCATGGCAGGTTCTGAAGACATTCTACAGAAAAGTAATGTACAAAAAATTAAGTTTCGTGAAATATCACCCTTTCAAAATTTCTTGTAATGAGGTAGTACCGCAACATTACATTGCAAAATTTAATATTTACCAACCTTTTCAAGTTAGGAAGCCACTCGTGTCTCTCGGTCCAACAACGAGCACACTGGCGTGACATTGGATGGTTTTTCAGGTCACATTGCAGGCACGCCCACATGTCATCTTCGTCAATTTCTGAATCAGAATCTCTGTCATCTTCGTACTCATCTCCGCCTTCCGCCCCAGGATCCTCCTCTTCATCTGAGCTAATTATAATTTCTGATTGAAAAAAAATTAACACAGAATGATAAATATGAAAATAGCTACCAAAAATTATGGAAGTTGCTTCTATGCAAGGTACATTGTTTGGCCTTTAATCTGGTAGCCATGTTGAAGCGCTGTGGTGTGCTCTTTCCTTCTATCCAACTTTTTAGCTTCATGCAGGCAGTGTAGTTTTTTTTTTGTCACATACCGTCATTGTCATCTTCCTCTTCTGCTTCCTCCTCAATGTCCTCACTATCAGAATCAGGTGGCTCGTATTCCACAGTTTCTAAATATAACAAATCAATCAATCAATCAATCAATCAATCAATCAGTAAGTCAGTCAGTCAGTCAGTCCGTTCGTCAGTCAGGGATGGTATATTAGGTAAGTGTTTGGTTAGCACTACTCTGGTTCTACAGAGAACCTCAAAGGGGTCTTGCCATTTTCAGCCCCTTCAGGGGTTTGGCAACATCGGAAATCTCATTTTTTTGTTTTCAACCTAAAAGGTTTATGAACACTGCAAGCTTTGTGTATGCCTCGCACAATCTTGGCTTTCTCTAATTCTTACTGCAACACTTTGAGACATGACTTATTTACCATTCAGAAAATACAAGTCATCCTCCGAGTCTGTTACTATGGCAGTCACAGCAGATTCATATCCTTTGACAAAGTACACTGCGCTGGACGGCTCAGATACTTCACTCTCGCTCTCTGATGCTCTCGCTGCCGCTGATGTAAACCCTATGCACCATGGGATCTGCTGAGGAGGACTGTAGCTGCTTTTCACACCATTTAAAACATCTGGATAAGAAAATAAACACTTAATTCCACAGTTCCACTTTACAGATTTTAATTCAATAATCTTTGAGAAAAAATAATAAAATTAACACCACTGAGACAAGTCTTCACAAAAGTCAGACAATAACAAAATAATGTGATATTTTTGGAATAGCCACAATGTATGTCAACTACATACTCTTGTCAACGTTGCAAAATGTTGCTTTATTTAAAAACGATTACACGTCCAGGGATACCGAACTCACAAAAATTATAACTAAGGTGCAAAGCGGGAAAGAGGACAAAGTGTCCCAAGACACTTAAGCCCGCTAATTAGTCATTAGGCTGGTGTCAAGCGCGGCAAGGTCACACATGATCCTAAATAAATCAGTGTATAAGCTCAGCCAACACATGTTTTAATGTATTTGGAAAATGGCTTAATTGCAATTATGTTAATATAAGCCATTCTTAATGAGACACAAATTAATAACCCAAGGTTTCATTCAAGATAACATTTGAATATTCTATCATGCAGCTTCAGTTAGACTAACTTACGTGTATAGCTGTAGCTTAATATTAGGATAACATTTAGACTAAAAACTTCAGACAGAAATATTTATGTACAACTATTACCTGACAATGATTCCCTTTTGCGTTTCCTGTATGGCTTCTTAGGGTTGTTACAAAAACTTCCTGTGTAATTTAGAAATAATAGTATTTATAACATACCTTTCAATAAGTTGTCAAAGTTTAATGTTGGTCACGAAAACTTACTATTTCAACCCGCCAAATCTAATTATAGAACATCTAAAAGTATGTTTTTATAATATGCACATTTAGCTGTTATCTACAATGATACATGTACGTCAAATGTTTGAAGGTCTCTAGCAAAGCTGGCAGCCTCGAAAAGCAAACAACATTTTATGGGCAATTCACAAGGTTTCTTATCTTGTGCTACACTTGGAGGGAGGAATGGTTTGTCCTGTTGGGCAAGCCTTGTGAACTTCTCTCCACCCAGGTCAGGGGCGGCTGTGGACTACATGTAGAATCCCATCCCTATGGGGTGAGTCATAAACCAAAGAAATTACATACCACATGTGTGATTTATTTTGTAAGTGACCAAGTTTACAGTGAAGATGATGCTACCATTGCCACTCGACAAAGTTTTTGATTAATTTTTGACAACTTTGATGGGTTCCGTTTTGTGACGCCACATTTGAACCAGACTAGAAACTAAAACCATTCAAATTTCACGACTCCACCTCCAACACTCCTTGGATTTTGATTGGTCAAGTCAAACGGAACCCATCCGAAAGTCGTCAAAAAGTTGTCAAAAATGTGGCAACAGTAGCGTCATCTTCACTGTAAATGCAATACTGATCTATGTAGAATAGTGAAAGCTAATCTGTTTATAGAAATCGTTACCTTGCTCATTGTCGGAACTGTCACACTGCGGAGCAATCAGTATCTCACTGAGACAAGAGACAAATAACAAAAATAATTATTATTAAATGATGGGTTTGTAACACACAGTAACAGACTTTCTGTAATGATAACAAAGAAAAAGAAATTAAAATTATATTATAGATGAGTCGACATCAGAGTAATATTATATTTGTTAGAGCTGTGAACTTGATCGTGAATACAGATGTTTTTGTTTGTTTTTGTTTGGGGTGGGGGAGGGGTGGGCAGGCAGGAAGAATCATTAGTAAGGAACTTAATTTTACATCAGAATTTTTCAAATTTGTTCAAATGAGTTTCCAAGTAACAAACTGACCTAATAACAAGATCTTGTACCCCTAGCCTGCAAACACAAACAGATTTTCGCCAATGTGTTGAAACAACAGGCAAAACTCAATCTGTGTTCACAGGCTACTGTCCTTCCAAGAGTGACAACGGAAGTAAACTCTGAAAAGTTTGCCGAAAAGTTCAACTTGGAACAGCACTGCAAGAAAGCACTGCGCAATAGCTATTAACAATTAGCCAAATCAACTACCACATCATAGAAATTGAGAGCGAATAAAAATTATAACAATTATTGTCTAGTTATAACTCTAAATCTTTCCCCGATACTTCAGAGAAACGAGAAGAACCGCAGTTTGGTAGACGACCTCCAGCCACTGCACACTAATGGCTGATAGTATATGAGTAGCTCGGCCAATCAGATTATCTCATTTGCATTAGTATACTAGCAGATTTTTACTAATGGTTGGGTTTTATGATTGCATCTGGCCGACTTGAAAATTAGAATCAAATTACATGAAGCAATGTTGGAATCCAGTACGAGGGAAAGGGTTTAATCACTGAAGCTATTATGTGTTGAAATCCTGCTGTATCTGGCTCCTATAGCCTGGGTCAGGGGGACATTTTGAAAATCAACAAAAAACCCAAATAAATAGTAAAGTAAATAAACACCATACACTGTAAATGCAACATAATTGGTTATCACTTGACTGACTTCTTGAGCTCCTAATATAAACAGCGTTTTTTAATTAAAAGATCACTTTGACTTTAAAAGACAGCCAATCAAAGTAAGCATGAAAATTGTTCATTACTGTTTGCAGTATGTGTGCGAGGTTGCCTTTTAAAATTATTATATTGGCAGGGTTCAACAATAAAATAAAAAATAAAAAAAAGGTTTCAACAATAAAGTCCAAGGTTAGTCACTGCTTATGACTTGGTCTGGCGACTAGAACAAAACATTTATCCCACTACATATAATCTAAGCCATTGCTTTAAGGCCTAGAGATGT